TGGGTGGCCAGCCAGGGCTGGGAATGCAAAAGCTCTTCTTTGTGGTGTGTGAAGAAATACTGTTTCCCTTTCTTCAGAGACAACAGCATTGTGATTGTGGTGGGGGAGACGGGGAGTGGGAAGACGACTCAGCTGACGCAGTACCTCCATGAGGATGGCTACACAGACTATGGCATGATTGGCTGCACCCAGCCCCGCAGGGTGGCGGCCATGTCAGTTGCCAAGCGGGTCAGTGAGGAGATGGGGGTGCATCTGGGAGAGGAGGTGAGTCCTGTGGTGGGCACAGGGGTGCAGCCTGATGACAGTGGGTGCCTGGGGCCGTTGGAAGACTTATTAGTATCTCTGCTCTCCCAGGTGGGCTATGCCATCCGCTTTGAGGACTGCACATCTGAGAAAACGGTGATCAAATACATGACGGATGGGATCCTTCTTCGTGAGTCACTGCGAGAGGCTGACCTGGACAACTACAGCGCTATCATCATGGATGAGGCACACGAGCGCTCGCTCAATACCGACGTGCTCTTTGGCCTGCTTCGGGAGGTGTGTGAGAGCCTGGGCTAGAGGACAACAGTGTAGGGCACGTGAGCTGCTCTTAAAGCAGAGTATTGGCAGGGACAGACCCTTCTCTACCAGGTCTGGGAGAGGGAAGCAGAGCTCCCACATCTCCGTCTGCGCTTGATCCTCCAGCATCCTGGTCTCTGGTTCTGGGGGGGTTAAATCTCCCCTAGTGCCCAAGTGCTGCCAGAGCCTTGCTGGCTAACTGTCAGAAACTCTGTACAGAGATTTTTGCTGGCTTAAGGCTTCCTGGACAGAGGTCAGCAGGTCTTTTTAACTGCACAGATCATATAACATCTGTGTTCCCTGGCATTAGTGGCCAGTGCCTCTAGAATACAGCAGAAGCTCTGTCCTGTGCTGTTGTCTCTGCAGCCATGCACAAATGCCCCTTCCTTATTGTTCCTTTCATCTGCTTTCTAGGTGGTGGCCCGGCGCTCAGATCTGAAGCTTGTTGTCACCTCGGCCACCATGGATGCAGATAAATTTGCATCCTTCTTTGGGAACGTTCCTATTTTTCACATTCCTGGACGCACTTTCCCAGTTGATATTCTTTTCAGCAAGGTATGGTCAACGTTGCAGAGGGAAGTTCTGTTGTGATGGGAGGGGGTTGTGACTTGGGTGTACTGTACTTTGGGGTGGACAGAAAGGATGGTGGAAGAGTAGCCATGCTATGATACAGTCTTGCACGCAGGTTGGGGCAGGTGGGATTATTGGCCTCTAACTTGGGCTGTGCCTTTCAGACCCCACAAGAGGATTACGTGGAGGCTGCAGTGAAACAAGCTCTGCAGGTCCATTTGTCTGGTGCTCCCGGGGACATCCTCGTCTTCATGCCTGGCCAGGAGGACATCGAGGTGAGCAGGAAGGGCAGGCACTGTCCTATTCCCTTGTTATTTTGACGTTATGTTTACACTCCTGTTTGTGTCTAGGTGACCTCAGAACAAATTGTGGAGCACCTTGAGGAGCTGGAGAAGGCACCTGCTCTTGCTGTACTGCCTATCTATTCTCAGCTACCATCGGACTTGCAGGCCAAGATCTTCCAGAAGGTACTGATGTGTGTTCTGTGATAGGAGCGGGGACAGGGGAAACTAGTGCAGGGAAGACTACTGAGCCATGAGTAAGAGGTTCAGACATGCCTTTTGTATCGCATGTGGAGGGTGAGAGAAAGCATGTGCCCCCCTCAACTTCCCAAGAGTCACCCCTGTCTTTCTGGGTTCTGTGTTGCTGCTCTGCATTCTTCCTCAGTGGTGCAGAGGCTCTTGCCCAGGGATTTGACTGATGTGTAGTATGTTTGCAGGCTCCGGATGGGGTCAGGAAGTGCATTGTTGCCACTAATATTGCGGAGACCTCGCTGACAGTGGACGGCATCATGTTTGTGATTGACTCTGGCTACTGCAAGCTGAAGGTACGCCAAGATTTCCTGTCATGTCTGTGATCTCTGGGGTTGGGTTGAAGGAGTTCAGAGGTGGTGACCCAGACTTCCTTTTACTTCAGTTGGTTCTTCTTGTGCCTTGCAGGTTTTCAACCCTCGTATAGGCATGGATGCACTGCAGATCTACCCCATCAGTCAAGCCAATGCCAATCAGAGGGCAGGCCGAGCTGGACGAACAGGCCCAGGCCACTGCTTCAGGTAGGCACATCACAGTGTTCCTGTCATATCTGCAGCTTGGCAACGGGTTATATATTATTTTTTTTCTCACTGGACATCTTCATTATTTTGAACTTTTGGGGGGATGAGGGCAGTATGCAGGCCTTGAGGCCTTCTCTTTTGAACCCTTTTCTCTGCAGAGAAAAGGACATGCTCCAGTTTCTTCCCTTGCCCATCTTCACTTGTGGCTGTTCAGCCCTTGATGCTGCCAGCGTAACAGCCAAGCCAAAGGCAGCTTTCTCAAGGCTTTGCTTTGAGACTGGTCTGCACCCAGGGAATAACTGTGCTTGAAAGGGGTGTACGCTGTACTGCAGCCCAGGCACCCTGATGTGCTGTGGACACCACACTTTGGCCATGGTAGAGGTTCCTCCTTGGGGTCCTGCTGGGTGGCCTGGCTGAGTGCAGAGCTGCTGCCCTGTGCCATGCCTGGCTGGGCTGGGCAGCGGCTGGTGAGTCAGTAAGGAATGCAGCAGCTTGAATGGGAGGAGAATGCTTTTGGCATCTGTTCCCCAGGCTCTACACCCAGAGCGCCTACAAGAATGAGCTGCTGACAACCACAGTGCCCGAGATCCAGCGCACCAACCTTGCCAATGTAGTGCTTTTGCTCAAGTCCCTGGGTGTGCAGGACCTGCTGCAGTTCCATTTCATGGATCCGCCTCCTGAGGACAACATGCTGAACTCCATGTACCAGCTGTGGATCCTGGGCGCCCTGGATAACACAGGTATTGGCTGCTGGGGCAAGCGGTCAGCCCATGGGACTGCGACCTGCCCAGCTGCTGATCCCTATGCTGTTTCTACAGGTGGTCTGACCTCAACAGGACGTCTCATGGTGGAGTTCCCACTGGATCCTGCACTCTCCAAAATGCTCATTGTCTCCTGTGACATGGGTTGCAGCTCTGAGATCTTGCTCATTGTCTCCATGTTGTCTGTGCCTGCCATCTTTTATCGGCCTAAGGTACCTGTTTGTTTTGCTCTGCCAGCAGTTTGATGTCTTCCCCTGACCATTGACTAACCTGTGTTCCTTGCTTACTCTTCAGGGCCGAGAGGAGGAGAGTGACCAAGTGCGGGAGAAATTTGCTGTTCCAGAGAGCGATCACTTGACGTACCTGAATGTTTACCTGCAGTGGAAGAACAACAGCTTTTCTACACTGTGGTGCAACCAGCACTTCATCCATGCCAAGGCCATGCGGAAGGTGAGGCTGTGGCTTCGAGGCTGGGGGAGGGAGCCGTACGCAGGAGAGGGATCTGACTGCCACACATCTTTGCAGGTGCGGGAGGTGCGAGCCCAGCTCAAGGACATTATGGTGCAGCAGCGCATGAGCTTAGCATCCTGTGGTACTGACTGGGATGTTGTCAGGAAATGCATCTGTGCTGCCTATTTCCATCAAGCTGCAAAGCTGAAGGTGAGAGTTGTCTCTGCTGGTCTGGGGGCTTGAGAGGCCCTGTCTGGGAAGAGGTGGGCTAAGCACACTTCTCTTTGCAGGGCATTGGGGAGTATGTGAACATCCGCACAGGCATGCCCTGCCACCTGCACCCCACGAGCTCTCTGTTTGGCATGGGCTACACACCGGACTACATTGTGTATCACGAGTTGGTCATGACCACCAAGGTGAGCTTGAGCTGAGAGCTAATGAGAAGGGTGAGGAGTGCTCTGAGGGAGGTGTGAGGGCTTTGCTGTTACACTATCAGAAGGGCAGTTCTCAGCCTTTCTCATCTATACCAACTAGGCATGGCCATGTCATCTGCAGAGTCCTGTTTGTCCTTTTCCCAATGTTTTTTTTTCTCACCTGTGTGTGACATGTTTGAACCTCTTTGTGTTCTCATCAAGACCAGCCTGCAGCAGCTTCTGAGGCCAGGAGGAATTGTCTGGAAGGGCTGTAGTCCCAGCCTGAGAAGTGCCATCAGCAAGTGGAGGAAGGAAGAAGCTGCCATGGCTCTAGAAATGGTGCCCAGGCCCTGAGAGTGCCATCCTGCTACCCTGGTATTTCCTTCTGTCTCTGCAGGAATACATGCAGTGTGTCACTGCTGTGGACGGAGAGTGGCTGGCAGAGCTGGGCCCCATGTTCTACAGTATCAAGCATGCTGGCAAGTCACGCCAGGTGAGCCTCCTGTCCAGGATGAGCTGGCAGACAGCTGGCCCACTGCGTGCCTGTTCTAGTGCCGTGTGTGTGTGTTGATGTGGAGGGAAGAGGCCTGTGGGCCTGCAGGGAGTCTGCTGCTGGCCAGCATTCTGCCTGTCCCTGACCTGCTCCTGCCTTACTCCAGGAGAACCGCCGTCGGGCCAAGGAGGAAGTATCTGCCATGGAGGAAGAGATGGCTTTGGCTGAGGAGCAGCTACGTGCCCGTCGGGAGGAGCAGGAGCGCCGTAACCCACTGGGCAGCACAAGGTAGGTGCTGGCCCTGCCTGGCCATGGGTTGCCTGCTTAGGAACAGGAGTAGGGAGCTACGGAGAGGAGCCCAACTTCCCCATGGGTGTTCTGGTGCAGGGAAAGGTTGCGTATTCCACTAAGCACCCTTGTCCTCTCCTGGCAGATCTACTAAAATCTACACCCCTGGGCGGAAGGAGCAGGGAGAACCCCTGACGCCACGACGCACCCCAGCCCGCTTTGGCCTCTGAGAAGGCAGTGCCCGTTGCTTTGAGGCTGAAAGACTTCCAGGAGCAGCTGAGCCTTAGGAGAGTGCCCAGCTCCTCTGATCACCGTACCCTGTGAGGTGCTCTACAGCTTGTGGCCCAGGAAGGCTTTGGTGCTTGGCACTAATTTTGCTACAGAACAGAAATAATTTTATTTGTTTAAAGGTTGTCGTTCTGATCCTTGCTTTGTGCTGCGCTGCTTCTTGTCCTGGAGGCGAGCGTTGGGTGGAGGCAGCCCTGCAGAACCGTGTGGGGCTGGGACTGTCAAGTTGTAGCCCTGTAGAGTCTGGGAAGAGGCAGAGAATGACACTGACCTAGAGGGCAAAGACCACCTTTCCTTGGCCCAGCCCTGGCCCATACAGCCGCAAAGGCAGTTCTCCCATAGGCCCAGCCCCGTTTCAGGCCAGGCTGGGCCTGGGATTCCGCTCACCTTCAGCTGCCCACACTTGTGGTGCTGCTCAGGGGTTCTGGCCGTGAAGAGAAGTGTTTCCTCCTGCATCCCGCCCTGTGTGTCTTGAAGACGCCTGGAGGAAAGGCAGGGGAGATGAGGTGGTGCAGAGACACTCCTGATCTGCTGGCCTTGCAGGAGCTTGGGTAGTGCAGCAGTTGCCCATCTGTCCCATGCACCCCTGCTGGCAACAGTGACTGCTGATGCTCCGCTGCTGTTGACCTGCACCAGCTCCTTCTCCTTGCGCAGCTGCTGCTGTCAGAGCATGCCAGAGCGTGGGAAGAGCGCAGGGTTTCTACCTGGGAAGAACGACCACTGGGGCCACGTGTGAACCAGCAGGTGGTTCATGGCTGGTGCGTGGCTGCTCTTCCCAGCCCTCTAGGAGACTGAAGGTGGCTGGAGAAAGCAGGCTGTGCTGGGGCAGCAGCCTTTGGGGCTGAGCAGAGGGTCTGGAGACGCTGGTGCCTTGGGAGAGCTCCTCTGGAGAGGAACTGTTAACCTCAGCTCTACTGGCTGTGAACTTCTGTCATCCCATGGTAGTTCCATGCTGAGGGGCTTCTTTCTAGCGGTGGAGCAAAGAGGGCTAGTTTCAAAATATTCAACCCTGCTGCTGCCAGACCCGCAGCGTCCTCCCTTGGTGGCCCGGGATCTGCAGTATGCTGTCCCCTCTCCTGTCCTCTCCACTTCTGCCCTGCCTGTGGGCTAGGCTCTGTCCTTCCCTGGTGCCAGGGGCCCAGCCTGCGCTCCCGTTTCTATGCGGCACCTGCTTCTTGGCCTTGCTGAGCTCTTCCTTGAAGAACGCCAGCTCCACTTTGCACAGCACCAGCTCCTCTTCTCGCGCAGCCAGAGCTCGCTGGCTGTCCTGGTAGAGCTGCTGCCAGTGTTGGGCTTGCCTGCTCAGCTCCTGCAGCACAGAGAGGCAGCGGGAGAGATGCAGGCTGAGCACAGGCTGACGGTGCCCGGTGGGAAGACCTGGGACATGCTTACCTCCTGCTTGCTCTGCTCCTGCAGCTTCCTTAGCTCCCAGCGGAGCTGCTGCCTCTCCTCCTCACTTTGCTGGCCCTGGCTGCGGGTGGCTCTCAGCTCCTCCTGCAGCCAAGCCAGGCCGCACCACAGGCTCCAGTTCTCTTCCTCCCGTGCCCTCAGCTGCAGAGAAGGCAAGGCGTTGGTGGGTGCTGCGTCGTGGGCTAGTGCTGCTTCCTGCCAGAGTGAGGGCTGTGCCTTCTCTCCTGCTGCCTGTCCCAGCTCCCTGCCCACGCCTGCAGCACAGGCTTTGCTCCAGGGCTTTATTCTCTCTCTTGAGGGTGCTCGTCCACTCCTGGCCTGCTGCAGCTCTTGCTAGAGCTGTTCCTTCCCGTCCTGCTGGCAGTGCAGCTGCCCTTGCTGCTCTCGTGGCGTGGTAGCTTGCTCCTGGCCCTGGGCAAGCCCTGGCTTACCCACGGGGGCAGGGGAGACTGGGCCAGGCTGACGGAGGGACCCCCCCAGCAGGTTTTGTCCACTACCAACCTGCTCCCTCAGGGCTTGGAGCTGTTCGAGGCTCTTCTGCACCTTCTCTTGGGCATGGGACGCAGGGTGCACGTGTTTCAGCTCCTGCTCCAGGCTCAGTTGCTGTTTCTGCTGGCACTGGCTGAGCTCTGCCTGGACCTGCACTGCCACCTCCCTGGGGGCAAGGGCACAGCCTCAGCTGTGGTGGCCCCAGGCTGCCCTCCCTTGATGGAGTGGGCATGGGCACAACCCTGGCTGGGCTCTGGCTGTGCCAGGGACAGCCAGGCTCAGGGCCTCCTACCTGCTCTGTGCCTGCTCGGCTTTGCTGCTGCCTGCTTGCAGCTTGGCCTCCACCTGGCTGTTGGCCTGGCAGGGTGTGCCCTTCCCCATGGATGAACGTGGCCGCTCCTCTGCGCGCTGCAGGGTGCTCCAGGCCTGGGCTGCTGGAGACAGTGGCTCTGGTTGGCATTGTCTTCCCGTGCCCTGCCCCAGGGCTTCTGTGGGAAGCGGAGCAGGGCTCAGCCCTGCAGCGGGCTCTGGGGACACTTGCCCTCCTGGCTCCTATGCCCCTCCTGGCTGCTTCCCCCCAGGCTCAGGGAGCTGCCTCTCCACCTTCCCAGAACTGCTCAGGGAAACACCGTGCCCTGTACGTCAGCAACTAGTGATGCCCCAAAAGCACAGGGACCCTGCGGTCCTTCAGGACCTTGCCATCTCCCCACCGTGGCACCAGGATGTATGGAGTGCTGCTGAAGCAGCACATGGCCGTGCAGTAGCTGATGAGGAGGCACTGCCTGCAGCCTCTGAGGCTGCTTTCCTCCTTCACGCTCCAGCCGTGTGTGCACTGACCCTTAGGGGTGCCAGATGCCTCCTTGCTGCTGCTCTCTGCCATCCGGGCAAGCCATGGGCTCCAGCTCTGGCTGAGCCCGGTCTCCCCACTGGAGACACCAAGGGCGTGGAACCCCACCGTGCTGGCTGCAGGCTCCAGCCCTCCCACGTCCGTCCCAGCCCTGTGGCCCTGGAGGCCCCCCGTCCTCATCCAGCCCACCTTCCTCAGCGCTGCTCCGCTCGGCCGCCCTCCCTGGCTTCACGTCCCGTGGCTGGTACCGTTGCTCCTCAGCTGTCTGCTCCTGCCTGCAGTACACCATCTCTGCGTCTACCACCACCTGTGTGAGGAGCACAGGCACGCACTGTCTGCCAGCTCCAGCCCGGCCCCAGGCACCCGTGCTGTGGCTCCTGGGCTGCTGGCACTGACCTGACCAAAGAGCTCTGTGCGCTCCTCCCTCAGGACACCGGAGCTGGTGTCAGCATGGCTGTGGGCAGCAATGGAGGAGGTGACCTCGGTCTGCACGGCCTCGTCCTTCTGCTCCTGTGGAGAGGGGCGTCACTGGCCTGCAGGTACCCGGCAGGGTGCCGGACCCCCTGGATTGCCCTGTGTCCCCACTGTGGGCTGGAGAAGCAGCTAGTTTGGGACAAGCACCAGGCAACGGACTACTTAGAGAGAAGGATGTGCTCTGCACCAGGGGAAGCAGGACGGCTGCTGGCTTCTGGCCCTCTCATCCCCATGCAGGTCCACTCAGTGCCCTCCCTTTTGTGGCAGTGTCTGCTGGACACCCAACAGCCCCGGAAAGGCATCCCCAGGGTCCCTGAGGTGAGGAGACTCATGAACGCAGCTTGCTGGCGAGGCTGGAATGGTGCCCAGGGTGTTAGTGGGGCCATTTGGGACTGCAGTCTTCAGGCTTGGCCCCGCTGGGTGGCCTGGGCCATGCCTGTCCTGTGTCTGGACTGCTCCATCCCCTGTCCTCCCCAGAGGAGGCTGGTCACCAGCTGTTTGCACGGGCAGGGCTGTTGGGCAGGCGTGGCGCCCAGCCCGTGATGGGACGGCTGTGGGGGACACGCGGCTGAGGGTGGGGGACTCATGTAATCTTGGGCTGTGACCGTCATGCCTGGCAGCAGTACCTTCCTCCTCACCTCCTTTGGATAGTGCTGCATCAGAAAGGCCAATTCCTGGAGCTCCTGCTCCACTGCACGCTCCCGCTCCTGCAGCTGGTCCAGCCGCTTGCGGTTCTCCTCCCTGAGGAACTCCACCTGCAGCTTCAGTGCTGAGACCAGCACCTGTGCTGGCTCCAGCTCCTGCTGCTCTCTGTCCCGGCATGCCTGGGGCTCCCCTTGCAGTGGCTCCAGCGCCGACGCTTGCCTTTGGCCCTAGGACACATGAGTCTGGCTCACTGCTGCGGCCAGCCCATCTCGCAGCTCCTGCCAGGCTCTGGGGCTGGGCAACAGCACCGGCAGTGCAGGTTTTGGTCAGAGACCAGCAATGGAATGTGATGACGATGGGTGGGGTGCAGACCTCTCTCTGCAAGGCAGCACCACCCCATGTGTGTGTGTGTGTGGGGGGGTGTGTGTTCTGACAGTCCCTCTGGGCTCATGAACAGCCGAGGCCCTGGCACTGCTGGCTCCTGGTGTTGAGGGATGCCAGCGTGAGCTGTGGCTGCTGTGGGAAATGGTGGCAGTGGGACCAGTGCAGCTGCGGCAGGACTGGCCGCCCCTCAGTCCTTGTTCTTTCCCCAGCCCTGCGGGGGGATGAGCTGGCTGGTGGCACAGGCAAGGGCTGGCCAGGGCCTCCTCTCCCACGTGGCCACCTGAAGCTACACAACCAGTGCCTGGGATGGGAGTGGGGTCAGCACTGCTCACCTGGGGCTGCCGGGTCTCCGTCTGCTGGATGGAGGTGTTCTGCGCGCGCCACATTTTGGACGTTCTCTCACTGCGAGAGGGACACACCACAACATGGGACAGGCCTTTCCCACTGGCCCCAGATAACCCTTGGTCTCAGGGAGAGGGCAGCCAGGGATGTCACCCAGCCCTGCCTGGAGCAGCCCCACCAGCCCGTGGCTTTGCCACTGCAACTCCCCATTGCAGGAGCTCCTGGTGCCAGTGGGAGACGCTGAGCCCGGGGCTCCTGCACAAGAAGCATGGCAGAGCTGCACGGGAGCCCGTGGCCCTCCCCTCCAGCAGTGCTAGTGCCCGACTGGCATCCCGGGTTCCTGGATGGGGTACACCCTCTGCTCTGCCCTGTGCTGGCATTGGCCCTCAGACATCCCCATTCCCCCCGGGCCACAGCAGAAAGGTGTCGTACATACATGGAGAAGGGGCACAATCTTGCCAGACGTGTCCGCAGGGCGACCAGGGCAGCCACCAGAAGCCAAGAAAGGCTGAAGACCCTCCCTGGGCAAAGAAACCAGAGAAAAGTTAAGTCTGACTCCTGAGGGCTCTTCTCTAGGATGCCCAGCCAGGCGTGTCTCAGCTCCCCGCGGGAAGGCGGGCACCAAGTCCCAGGCTCTCCCTCCCTGGGGCAAAGAGCAGGGCGGCCTGTGCTTGTGTTGGAAATAGCATGACCAGCAGAAGTAGGGAAGTGATTGTGCCCCTGTACTCAGCACTGGAGAAGCCACACCTTGAGCATTGTGTCCAGTGTTGGGCACCTCAATACAAGAGAGATATCGAGGTGCTGGAGTGAGTGCAGAGGAGGGCAACAAAGCTGGTGAAGGGCCTGGAAAACAAATCAGATGAGGAGCGGTTGAAGGAGCTGGGACTGTTTAGTTTGAGGAAGAGGAGGCTGAGGGGAGACCGCCTCACTCTCTACAACTCCTTGAAAGGACACTGTAGAGAGGTTGGTGTTGGTCTCTTCTCACAGGTAATTAAGGACAGACTGAGAGGGAATGGCTTCAAGCTCCTACAGGGTAGGTTTGGACTGAACGTTAGGAAAGACTTTTTCACAGAAAGAGTGGTCAGGCATTGGAATAGGCTGCCTAGGGAGGTGGTTGAGGCACCATCCCTGGAGGCGTTGAAGAGCCGTGTAGAGGTGGTGCTGGGGGATATGGTGTAGGGGAGAACTTCGTAGAGTAGGGTAGATGGTTGGACTCGATGATCCCAAGGGTCTTTTCCAGCCTGGATGATTCGATGATTCTCCTGCCACTTGTGCCGATTGCCCAGAGCTCCAGCACAGCCCAGCTCTCCAAGCCCACCCCAGAGGACTTCGCAGGCAGCAGCAGTGCTGAGCTTACTTGCAATTGCTGTGGCCCTGGCGTGCCACCTGGCAGCCCCTCGAGCGGCCGAGCTGGGAGTCGAAGGGCGCGTCACCAGCTCCACACCAGCGCCCAGGGCCCTGTGGGAGGACAAAGACAAATGGCGGCGGCCCCGTCCCCCGGCGGCGGGAGCCGAGGCGGGCAGGAGCAGCCTGAGCGGAGGCCCCTCCCCGAGGAGGGGCTGTCCCAGCAGCAGCGAGAGAGGGCAGCAGGGCCGGGCTGCTGCCAGCGCCCCCCCGCCCCCCAGTTTCTCCTCGCGTTGCCGGGCAGAGCGGCCTGAGAGAAGAGGGAGCCAGATGGCAGCAGAAGTCACCAGCATCAGGCAGCCTGCCCGGCAGCACAGCCCCAGCTTCACCCTGGCTCACCCCCTGCCCCACGCTGCACCGCACCCCTTGACCGCCTTGGGCCACCTCTGGGCTACCACCCCAGGCTCCTGACGCCCTGGGCAGGAGTAGCCATCTTGTTAAGTCTGACTCCTGAGGGCTCTTCTCTAGGATGCCCAGCCAGGCGTGTCTCAGCTGCCAGCGCCCCCCGCCCCCCCGCCTGCTCTGTGTCCCGACCCAAAAAACCAGCTCAGCAGTCAGCAGTCCCACGCTGTATCCAGCAGGAACCTGCCCCAGGCCACAGTCCCAGGCCAAGTGTGGGCTCCTTCCCCGCGAGCCACAGGGCTGTGCGGGTGGCAGCTGTGACCTCACAGCAACAGCTCTGACATCACACTGGGGGGTACACCCTGGGGGTCATTCGTCTCTGCCCACACTAGTGATGGTTTTTCCCAGCACCAGGCAAGACTATTAAGGCCAGTGGATTCAAAGGAGTTAACCTTTTTGAGATTATATTATGTGCCGCGAGAAGGATCCCAAATTCCTATCTGTGTGCTCCGTGTGGTGGTAGAGCTTGGGCTGCATACTGTTTCAACAGCATTTCCACTGATTAATTACCTGTAGCTCTTGTACAAAACGACATTCCGGGCCCCTACCCTCATCGAATTGAGTCTCTTTTACAGGGAGTCTAGCAGTGTTCTAAAATGACACACATACTTTTAAAGTTGCTTGGGATAGATGCCGCTCTGTTAACTTCTGGACACTTTTCTCATCCTCTTGGGGAATAATATACTCTTTCACAGCCTTTTGCTTTAACGCTCACAGGTTGGCCCAAAACTACAATCCTAAACCCGTGCTGGTTTTACCCCTCAGCTTTGTTGGTACAGCTTTCAGGGTTTCCAGTATTTTGAGCTCATTATTTGGCCTCTCAGTGACCACAGCCACTCCCGGGATTATTCAATCTATTCCTTCAGGAGGCAAGTGTCATTCTACATCCAGAGCCTGCAAGTTTCCTCCCCAGCAGGCCCGCTGGGCAGTCCCCTGCTACTGCAAACTGCCTCCAGATACTCTTCTTACCTACACTAAGAGGGGTGTATTGAAATGCCGCTCTTTCTAACCTGTGGGTGACTCCATGTATTAAAATTTTATTTGGGGTCCTAGATCCTCTTGGGGTAAAATTCAAAAGGGGTAACGTAGCTCCCGTGTCTACTTCACAACCTTCACCTTGACGCACAAGACGTCCCACTGGTCCAATTGGGTAACCCACATATGGAAAATCTCTACTCTTTCTAGCCTTCCCTCCAGATGCACAGGGTCCCATTCCTCTAGGCATTGCAATTGCAAGACTTCCCAGGGCAGATGCCTCTGGTGATAATCTCTTCCTGGTGTCCTGTCCCATGGCCAGGACGGGCATTCCCGCCATTAAGAGTCGTCAGTTCCCGCAATCATCGCACTCTCTTTTCTCCCGTTTCTCTTTCCCTTCTTCCAGGTCTTCTTAACTCCCACCACGAAGCCGGCCTTCTTCCCCTCCAGCTCCTATTTCTCCTTTTTACAAATTCCTCACCAAAGCCGCTGCCAGTATGTGTGCCCCCTTGACTTTGTTTCCTCTCTGTCACCTGCTCAACTTTTTGCCTTTCCTCACGTCCATCATGCACAAACACAGCAACTCTCAGAATCTTTTGCAAATTTTCTCCCGCCCACCCAGGCATATGACCTTTACACTGTTTATTCTGTCTATCGGGCCTGACTGAGCCACAAAGATGCTCATTTCACTACAAAAAGCATTTCACTAAAATTTTGTGTGGTCCTTCCCCCATATGTCAACAAGGCTTGTCGGAATGCATCCAAAGACCACAAGGGCCTTCATCTGGCCTCTGTCTGCACTCCAGTTCCTTAGCCCCATTTCTTTGCATGCTCTCATTGCTGCTGCTCCCTTTCGGAGTGCGGTTTGGCAGGTGGCTCTGTCCCTGTCATTTGCTGGCCAGGGGTTTCAACTTCCTCCAGCCTGTTGTGTTCATTCTGCATCTTTAGTAATTATCTTTTCACCTTCATCTGGCTGAAACAACTCTCTCAAAAGGGCTTGGGTGTCTTCCCAGCGCTGAATCGGGTGCACCAAAAATAGATGCACGCCGATCTTTCAGCTTTCAGGTATTTTATACTCCTATCCTGGCCGCCTGAGTTTCCGTCTCTCTTCTCATTGGCTGAGAAGTTGGAGCTCACATTCTTCCCGACCGCCTGACTTATTACAGGTTTAGTTTGCACTTTTTTCCCATAGAAGGCACACATACACCTATCCTACGGAATCGTTATCCTAAACATGCCTTTGATTAGTTGATTATGCTACACATTATGTCATGGCCATGTCATCTGCAGAGTCCTGTTTGTCCTTTTCCCAATGTTTTTTTTTCTCACCTGTGTGTGACATGTTTGAACCTCTTTGTGTTCTCATCAAGACCAGCCTGCAGCAGCTTCTGAGGCCAGGAGGAATTGTCTGGAAGGGCTGTAGTCCCAGCCTGAGAAGTGCCATCAGCAAGTGGAGGAAGGAAGAAGCTGCCATGGCTCTAGAAATGGTGCCCAGGCCCTGAGAGTGCCATCCTGCTACCCTGGTATTTCCTTCTGTCTCTGCAGGAATACATGCAGTGTGTCACTGCTGTGGACGGAGAGTGGCTGGCAGAGCTGGGCCCCATGTTCTACAGTATCAAGCATGCTGGCAAGTCACGCCAGGTGAGCCTCCTGTCCAGGATGAGCTGGCAGACAGCTGGCCCACTGCGTGCCTGTTCTAGTGCCGTGTGTGTGTGTTGATGTGGAGGGAAGAGGCCTGTGGGCCTGCAGGGAGTCTGCTGCTGGCCAGCATTCTGCCTGTCCCTGACCTGCTCCTGCCTTACTCCAGGAGAACCGCCGTCGGGCCAAGGAGGAAGTATCTGCCATGGAGGAAGAGATGGCTTTGGCTGAGGAGCAGCTACGTGCCCGTCGGGAGGAGCAGGAGCGCCGTAACCCACTGGGCAGCACAAGGTAGGTGCTGGCCCTGCCTGGCCATGGGTTGCCTGCTTAGGAACAGGAGTAGGGAGCTACGGAGAGGAGCCCAACTTCCCCATGGGTGTTCTGGTGCAGGGAAAGGTTGCGTATTCCACTAAGCACCCTTGTCCTCTCCTGGCAGATCTACTAAAATCTACACCCCTGGGCGGAAGGAGCAGGGAGAACCCCTGACGCCACGACGCACCCCAGCCCGCTTTGGCCTCTGAGAAGGCAGTGCCCGTTGCTTTGAGGCTGAAAGACTTCCAGGAGCAGCTGAGCCTTAGGAGAGTGCCCAGCTCCTCTGATCACCGTACCCTGTGAGGTGCTCTACAGCTTGTGGCCCAGGAAGGCTTTGGTGCTTGGCACTAATTTTGCTACAGAACAGAAATAATTTTATTTGTTTAAAGGTTGTCGTTCTGATCCTTGCTTTGTGCTGCGCTGCTTCTTGTCCTGGAGGCGAGCGTTGGGTGGAGGCAGCCCTGCAGAACCGTGTGGGGCTGGGACTGTCAAGTTGTAGCCCTGTAGAGTCTGGGAAGAGGCAGAGAATGACACTGACCTAGAGGGCAAAGACCACCTTTCCTTGGCCCAGCCCTGGCCCATACAGCCGCAAAGGCAGTTCTCCCATAGGCCCAGCCCCGTTTCAGGCCAGGCTGGGCCTGGGATTCCGCTCACCTTCAGCTGCCCACACTTGTGGTGCTGCTCAGGGGTTCTGGCCGTGAAGAGAAGTGTTTCCTCCTGCATCCCGCCCTGTGTGTCTTGAAGACGCCTGGAGGAAAGGCAGGGGAGATGAGGTGGTGCAGAGACACTCCTGATCTGCTGGCCTTGCAGGAGCTTGGGTAGTGCAGCAGTTGCCCATCTGTCCCATGCACCCCTGCTGGCAGCAGTGACTGCTGATGCTCCGCTGCTGTTGACCTGCACCAGCTCCTTCTCCTTGCGCAGCTGCTGCTGTCAGAGCATGCCAGAGCGTGGGAAGAGCGCAGGGTTTCTACCTGGGAAGAACGACCACTGGGGCCACGTGTGAACCAGCAGGTGGTTCATGGCTGGTGCGTGGCTGCTCTTCCCAGCCCTCTAGGAGACTGAAGGTGGCTGGAGAAAGCAGGCTGTGCTGGGGCAGCAGCCTTTGGGGCTGAGCAGAGGGTCTGGAGACGCTGGTGCCTTGGGAGAGCTCCTCTGGAGAGGAACTGTTAACCTCAGCTCTACTGGCTGTGAACTTCTGTCATCCCATGGTAGTTCCATGCTGAGGGGCTTCTTTCTAGCGGTGGAGCAAAGAGGGCTAGTTTCAAAATATTCAACCCTGCTGCTGCCAGACCCGCAGCGTCCTCCCTTGGTGGCCCGGGATCTGCAGTATGCTGTCCCCTCTCCTGTCCTCTCCACTTCTGCCCTGCCTGTGGGCTAGGCTCTGTCCTTCCCTGGTGCCAGGGGCCCAGCCTGCGCTCCCGTTTCTATGCGGCACCTGCTTCTTGGCCTTGCTGAGCTCTTCCTTGAAGAACGCCAGCTCCACTTTGCACAGCACCAGCTCCTCTTCTCGCGCAGCCAGAGCTCGCTGGCTGTCCTGGTAGAGCTGCTGCCAGTGTTGGGCTTGCCTGCTCAGCTCCTGCAGCACAGAGAGGCAGCGGGAGAGATGCAGGCTGAGCACAGGCTGACGGTGCCCGGTGGGAAGACCTGGGACATGCTTACCTCCTGCTTGCTCTGCTCCTGCAGCTTCCTTAGCTCCCAGCGGAGCTGCTGCCTCTCCTCCTCACTTTGCTGGCCCTGGCTGCGGGTGGCTCTCAGCTCCTCCTGCAGCCAAGCCAGGCCGCACCACAGGCTCCAGTTCTCTTCCTCCCGTGCCCTCAGCTGCAGAGAAGGCAAGGCGTTGGTGGGTGCTGCGTCGTGGGCTAGTGCTGCTTCCTGCCAGAGTGAGGGCTGTGCCTTCTCTCCTGCTGCCTGTCCCAGCTCCCTGCCCACGCCTGCAGCACAGGCTTTGCTCCAGGGCTTTATTCTCTCTCTTGAGGGTGCTCGTCCACTCCTGGCCTGCTGCAGCTCTTGCTAGAGCTGTTCCTTCCCGTCCTGCTGGCAGTGCAGCTGCCCTTGCTGCTCTCGTGGCGTGGTAGCTTGCTCCTGGCCCTGGGCAAGCCCTGGCTTACCCACGGGGGCAGGGGAGACTGGGCCAGGCTGACGGAGGGACCCCCCCAGCAGGTTTTGTCCACTACCAACCTGCTCCCTCAGGGCTTGGAGCTGTTCGAGGCTCTTCTGCACCTTCTCTTGGGCATGGGACGCAGGGTGCACGTGTTTCAGCTCCTGCTCCAGGCTCAGTTGCTGTTTCTGCTGGCACTGGCTGAGCTCTGCCTGGACCTGCACTGCCACCTCCCTGGGGGCAAGGGCACAGCCTCAGCTGTGGTGGCCCCAGGCTGCCCTCCCTTGATGGAGTGGGCATGGGCACAACCCTGGCTGGGCTCTGGCTGTGCCAGGGACAGCCAGGCTCAGGGCCTCCTACCTGCTCTGTGCCTGCTCGGCTTTGCTGCTGCCTGCTTGCAGCTTGGCCTCCACCTGGCTGTTGGCCTGGCAGGGTGTGCCCTTCCCCATGGATGAACGTGGCCGCTCCTCTGCGCGCTGCAGGGTGCTCCAGGCCTGGGCTGCTGGAGACAGTGGCTCTGGTTGGCATTGTCTTCCCGTGCCCTGCCCCAGGGCTTCTGTGGGAAGCGGAGCAGGGCTCAGCCCTGCAGCGGGCTCTGGGGACACTTGCCCTCCTGGCTCCTATGCCCCTCCTGGGGATGAGCTGGCTGGTGGCACAGGCAAGGGCTGGCCAGGGCCTCCTCACCTCCTTCGGATAGTGCTGCATCAGAAAGGCCAATTCCTGGAGCTCCTGCTCCACTGCACGCTCCCGCTCCTGCAGCTGGTCCAGCCGCTTGCGGTTCTCCTCCCTGAGGAACTCCACCTGCAGCTTCAGTGCTGAGACCAGCACCTGTGCTGGCTCCAGCTCCTGCTGCTCTCTGTCCCGGCATGCCTGGGGCTCCCCTTGCAGTGGCTCCAGCGCCGACGCTTGCCTTTGGCCCTAGGACACATGAGTCTGGCTCACTGCTGCGGCCAGCCCATCTCGCAGCTCCTGCCAGGCTCTGGGGCTGGGCAACAGCACCGGCAGTGCAGGTTTTGGTCAGAGACCAGCAATGGAGTGTGTTGACGATGGGTGGGGTGCAGACCTCTCCCTGCAAGGCAGCACCACCCCGTGTGTGTGGGGGGTGTGTGTGTGTGTGTTCTGACAGTCCCTCTGGGCTCATGAACAGCCGAGGCCCTGGCACTGCTGGCTCCTGGTGTTGAGGGATGCCAGCGTGAGCTGTGGCTGCTGTGGGAAATGGTGGCAGTGGGACCAGTGCAGCTGCGGCAGGACTGGCCGCCCCTCAGTCCTTGTTCTTTCCCCAGCCCTGTGGGGGGATGAGCTGGCTGGTGGCACAGGCAAGGGCTGGCCAGGGCCTCCTCTCCCACGTGGCCACCTGAAGCTACACAACCAGTGCCTGGGATGGGAGTGGGGTCAGCACTGCTCACCTGGGGCTGCCGGGTCTCCGTCTGCTGGATGGAGGTGTTCTGCGCGCGCCACATTTTGGACGTTCTCTCACTGCGAGAGGGACACACCACAACATGGGACAGGCCTTTCCCACTGGCCCCAGATAACCCTTGGTCTCAGGGAGAGGGCAGCCAGGGATGTCACCCAGCCCTGCCTGGAGCAGCCCCACCAGCCCGTGGCTTTGCCACTGCAACTCCCCATTGCAGGAGCTCCTGGTGCCAGTGGGAGACGCTGAGCCCGGGGCTCCTGCACAAGAAGCATGGCAGAGCTGCACGGGAGCCCGTGGCCCTCCCCTCCAGCAGTGCTAGTGCCCGACTGGCATCCCGGGTTCCTGGATGGGGTACACCCTCTGCTCTGCCCTGTGCTGGCATTGGCCCTCAGACATCCCCATTCCCCCCGGGCCACAGCAGAAAGGTGTCGTACATACATGGAGAAGGGGCACAATCTTGCCAGACGTGTCCGCAGGGCGACCAGGGCAGCCACCAGAAGCCAAGAAAGGCTGAAGACCCTCCCTGGGCAAAGAAACCAGAGAAAAGTTAAGTCTGACTCCTGAGGGCTCTTCTCTAGGATGCCCAGCCAGGCGTGTCTCAGCTGCCAGCGCCCCCCGCCCCCCCGCCTGCTCTGTGTCCCGACCCAAAAAACCAGCTCAGCAGTCAGCAGTCCCACGCTGTATCCAGCAGGAACCTGCCCCAGGCCACAGTCCCAGGCCAAGTGTGGGCTCCTTCCCCGCGAGCCACAGGGCTGTGCGGGTGGCAGCTGTGACCTCACAGCAACAGCTCTGACATCACACTGGGGGGTACACCCTGGGGGTCATTCGTCTCTGCCCACACTAGTGATGGTTTTTCCCAGCACCAGGCAAGACTATTAAGGCCAGTGGATTCAAAGGAGTTAACCTTTTTGAGATTATATTATGTGCCGCGAGAAGGATCCCAAATTCCTATCTGTGTGCTCCGTGTGGTGGTAGAGCTTGGGCTGCATACTGTTTCAACAGCATTTCCACTGATTAATTACCTGTAGCTCTTGTACAAAACGACATTCCAGGCCCCTACCCTCATCGAATTGAGTCTCTTTTACAGGGAGTCTAGCAGTGTTCTAAAATGACACACTCTCCTGCTGCCTGTCCCAGCTCCCTGCCCAAGCCTGCAGCACATGCTATTGACCATGGGGACTGAGGCTGATGCTCCGTGCTTTGCCAGGTCCAAAGGGGTAAAAATAACAGGAACAAGTAGTCAGAAATGAAATTTCAATTTCTCCACGCCCTTCCCTGTCCACACGGATTCCCAGCACAGATCAATAGTGTTTAGACAGCCAAGGAGAATTTTTTTTTTCCCTCCCCTCTTAAAGCACCAGATCAATAGCATAAAAAAACCCAACCCCTAAACAAACCCTCTTTACCTCTGCCATGGTAAATGTCAATAAAGCGGACCCGGCGCTGCCCAAGTGGTGTGACAGCAGCGGCTGGGGCCATGGGTGGCCACGCTGTGTGGCCCCTTCTGGTCTGCTCACCATGCATGTAGCATGGCTGGAGGGACGTGCTGCAGGGATGCATCCCAGCAGGGCTGCAGGCCATGGGCCCCAGGGGAGGCCGAGCATGCCCCAAAAGCTTCCTGGGGTAAGTGCACTGTCCGTGGGCGAGGAGAGGCTCTGAGGGTGGAGATGAGCCTGGCTGCCAGCCCAGCTGCTGCTGGGGGGGGTTCAACAGAAACCCAAATCAGCAGCCACATGGACAACAGCGATCGCTGGGGAGAGGGCAAGTGGCCTTTGCAAAGGGAAATCCTGCCGGGCAGCCCCACAGGAAACCTTCACCCAGGGCTTTTAGGAATTCCAGCCAGGGCACAGGGGATGGACTGGTGCCTACATGAGGAATCAATTTTGGCAGGCAGCGGCCTCCAGCCTGTTCCTGGGGCACAGGAGACCTGCCCCATCCCATCGGGCCGCAGTCGCCCTGTAGTGGGTGGGAGACATGGGTGCAATCTGGGGAGCTGCCAAAGGATGGTGTGAGGCAGTGACCCCAGAGTGCGGGGCAGCGCTGGTTCCGTGTAGGTAGGTGTGCAGCCGTGCGGATGTATGAAAACCAGTCCATAGAGGCAAAATGCTAGTGCAGATGGGCGCGTTGGCTGGTGAAATGGCGTCTGCAGTGCTGGAGTTGGGGGCCACAAAGAGGTGGGGGTGGGTGCAGTGGATGGGGCTGCCCTACCATGGCTCGGCAGCTCTGGCTGGTCTGTGCTCCCTGCCCGGGGCAGCACCGCAGCAGCCTGGGTGCCCCGGGGTGGCAGGGACAGTCCCTGGGTGCCAGCTGCAGAGCAATGGCCCCAGCACACACCGTGCCACAGGGCTCCCCACTCTGTCGCCCCTCGCTGACGCTGAGTGCGGTTTCACGGGTAAGTATTTTAACTGGAAATTTCCAAGGCCAAGCTGGGCCCCGGAGGTGAACGCAGATGTACCATCATAGAAATCATCGGTTGCCATGACGACCTGCTCCACCAGCGGGTCGCAGCCACAGGCGGTGGGAGCGGGCGCAGCACCAACAGTCCTGCGAGCGGGGCCACTTAACCCCCGCTGTGCGGAAGGCAGTTGAATTTAGCCCTAATTTCTGCCCGTGCAAGGGAACAAAATTTCCCCGCAGATTGCCCGCTTGGTCAGGCAGTGGCAGCCAGGGAACAGAGCACCCCACAGGGCACAGAGCACCCAATGGGGCACAAAGCACCCAACAGGGCACAGAGCCTCCCCAGCTGCCATCCTCTGCCTTGGTGCTCCGTCATGGACTTATTAATTAAAGCCAGTTGCCCTCCCCTGGCAGCACCCCACACATGGCAGCCACGCTGGGGCTGAGCCCGCAGCAGCCTGCACTGTTCTGTGTGGCCCAGCTCAGCACGGCTTGGCATCGCTCTGCTGTCCCTCAGCAGAACGTCATGGCTTGAAGTCATGGCTTAGGTGGCCCTTTGCCACCTCCTTTGCCCTTGTTACTGCACGCAGTGGTGTCACCAGGCTGTCCCCACTGCCAAGCTGGCTGGTGCCCGTGCTGTGCTGGCCTGCACCGCCGTGCCACGCCGTGCTGAGCTCTGCCACACCACGCTGTCTTGTGCAACACACAGTGCCGTGCTGCACTGTGCCACACCGTACCAAGCACAGACCCGGCCACCTGCTCCTGGAGCAGGGGATCCGCCGTGGGGCTGTGCCTTGGGCCCCTGTTTCTGGAGGTGGCTGCTGGCCGCCTGTGCCCGGGCACATCTGACCTGCCACCATACCTGTCCTCAGCTCCAGCTGATGTGCTGCCCATCCTGCTGCCCTGGGGCTGTGGGCAGCGCCTGCCTTGGCAGGGCTCAACCCTTCTCCAGCTCCTTGTCAGCCTGTGGGGCAGCCCCACAGCCCTGACCCACAGCTGCCCACCCGTGCTCGCCTGGTGCTGGGAGGAGCTGGGGGGGTCAAACTGGACCCTCTGCTGGGTGAGCCGGCACCGCGCAGTGCTGGGGGTGGGAGTTGTCTCACTTTAATTACTGCCATAATGTTATTCTTTTCAGTGCCACGTTAATTGAAATTAAACAGCTGCCACGTTCTGGCTGGGACAAAAGTGAATCCCTTTTCATTCCCCTCTGGTTTAATGAAGACTGACGTGCTGAGAGAAAACAAAGGCGATCCAGCTGCTGCCTCTCCCCGGCACACGCACCAGCAATTACCGGGGACCCCGTGAGCCGGCGGAGATGCCCTGGAGCCCCCCACGGTCGCCAGCCAAGGCAGCCCGGCCCCCGTGCCCCGGGGCACTCCTGCCCAAAGGGTCTGGCCGGGGGGAGGTGGAGGACGGGGAGCCCGCAGCATGAGGGATGCCGGCACGGGGTTGTCGAGGGGAACTGCAGCATGCCCAGGCGGTGAGTCCAGGCTTTGATCCTGTCTGTTAAGAAACGACGGGCCACCAGCCGTGCCCCAGCGCTGCCCCTCAGCCCTCCCGCACCCCCGGGGCTGTCCATCCCTGCAGGCTCTGCCAGCTTCAGCCTCCTGATGTTCTAAGTCACCAACCAGCCCACAGATCCTGAAAGCCCGAGCTGAGACATCAGTAGTAGCTGAGGAGGGTCTCCCTTGCCAGCCTTAAGCATTTTTTTTTCTGTTTTAGGACTAGGAGCTTGCTTGTGATGCCATTCAGTACTTTAAAATATGCAAAATGAGGCACTGGTACAAACCTCATTAACACCCGCCTCCAACATCATTAAGATGTTTCCAAGAAAATTAATTGAGAGACTCATTAAAAATAAATTAAGAAAAATGTGTTGCAGAGCGCCTGCTCTGAGCTCGTAAATCACGGCTCAAAGCTCCAGGCCGCTGCACAGGCAATTAACGCCAGCCAATTTGTTTTATCCTGACTGCGAAAATTAGAAAGCAGACATGGAGATTAGATTAGGGATGTCTGTCAAGCGGAACTTGGAGTGAATATTTTAGGATACAAAATGGAAATCAGGAAAACAAAGCTGGGACTTCATTCGGAAGAGCTGACAGGCAGAGGTGGGGAGGGAGGGGAGAGATTTAGATGTTTTCTGTTTCAAGGAGCGGCACCATGTCTGTATTTAGCTCTACACCCATCTCCCGCTCCCAGACAGCTTTCCATTTTCGCCTGCGCATCGCCAGCCCTTTGTGGCTGCCTGCACAGAGCCCGCCTGCCCCTTTCGGGGAGCGTGAGCTCACGGTGAGAGCGCGCTTTGAAGTGGCTGTTGTATTACACAGCTCGAACCAACATGTCGCCTCCGTATACGCTGATTACACACTCGGATTAGCAAACACAGTGCGGCGGGGCGAGACTGGTGCTTGGGACTTAAGTCAGCTTTGTGCCATTAGGTACCCCTTTGTCCATCTCTAGCCCCTTCCATCAGAGGATCTCAAACTACTTTATATTCATGAACTGAACTGCAGAGCCCTTCTGCAAAATGAGCAAGCGTTATTATCCCCGTTTTGCACAGGGAAGCCCAAGCGGAGATAAGTTAAGGTCTTGCTTGTAACTATGTGACTGCACAAACAGCTTGTGCAGCGGCAGCCATGGCATTCGCACGCCCCGGTGGCGTGTTGGACACGCCGAGGGCTATTTGTGCAGCCCCACGTCCAGCCGTGATTGCGGCAGAGTGGGCCACGGTGCACGCGGTAGGGGGCGGTTTGGGAACATCCACACAGCCAGCCAGCAACAACGCAGGTCGGTGTCCTGCCTGCCACCAAACAGGAACAGATCTGGAGTCACCCCGCAACGTGGCCCCGGAGCAAACGCCACCTCTTCCCTTTCACATGGACCCGATGCCCGGGGAGCGGGCAGGCAGCTTCTGCTGGATGAGGGCTGGGGGGCACCGTCAGATGTTCTGCTGCTCTGAGTCAACTGATGCTGGCCTCCTCCCTGGCTGGGTGCTATCTCCTAGCAGCCATCCTAAAGGGCTAGTTTTTAGAAAGCAACAGTCGTACTTTTGCACACAAGAAACAGGAAGAATCCTCTGGCCAGGGTGAACTATAAATCCTTATTTTCTTTGCTTTCTTATCTCAC